AGGTGACACCGGGGACAGGCTGCTGAGCCCGTCGGCCACAGAGTCTGTGTTGAGCTTGATCTCCGAGTAGTAGAAGTCCTCCTCTCCGTCGCTGCAGTCCGAGTCACAGCTACGCCTGGAGACAGAAGCAGAGGAAACATGTTGGGGTTGTTAGAACTCTGTCCGGTTTCTGATGGCTTCCTGGTTCTTGGACATGTGTGTGTTTTAGCCTGTCCACGTTGTGCTGCTGGCTGCTTGAGGTCTCCAGTTCTTTTGGTGTGTGTGTGTGTTGTTGTCTTACCCCAGGTGGATGGTGCGGATGTGTCTCTGGATGCCGGCGGCAGTGCTCAGCACCTTGCCACAGTTCTTCCACAGGCACTTGAACATCACCTTCATTGAGTTCTAAAAGGAAACACACAACAGCAGCTCTCAGATGAGTCCGTGTTGACAGAAACAGGGATTACAGGAAATCTGTCCAGTTGCTTTTGTTTGATTTTACTTACAAACAAACAACAACCTTGGTGGAGGTTATTAGTACAGTGAGTCAATTAAAGTATAAAATATCAATGTCACATAGTCAATGGCAGTGGTGTCAAACTCCATCACCTCAGCACAGAATTTATTCATCGTCAGTTTGTTGATGATCTCGATTCACACTAACAACTCAAAAACTTCATACTATATTCTCAGACTTTATTCAGATTGAATGTGACTAAATAACACAGTTCTTTACTGTAGATAAATCTATGGAGCCATTCTGAACAAACTTTTAATTACAATGCAAAATCACAGTGAGTCCCTCTCTGGTTGTGAGCAGGCGATGCTGTTGTTTCTTTTATCTCTCGTCTGTAATTACACCATCGGCCTCCTAGTGAGATTATACATTGTTTTTCATGGAGCGACAACAAGCTCTGTGAGCTTCCTCTCTGCCCTCTCCTCCGCTGCTCCGAGCCATCAGACAGGTGGTCTTACAGGCCCGTCTGTCAAACTATTGTTGAGGGGGCTGGTTTCATTTTGTCAAGATGTTTTTTTAAATGTTCCTGCTGCTTGCAGAAACACACACACACAACAATCATCTGTCCCCTGTGCATTGTTTTGTCTTTGGGTAACAAAAGCATATTTTCTGTGTGTGTGTGTGTTATTCCCCTTTAAAGACAGATTTCACAGTTAATTAAATGGAGAGCCCCACACGGTACTGTCTTGCCAAGAGAGAAGCCAGAGCACGAGAGAGGCATACAGATCATGTGAGACCTTGGCATTGCATGTAAATAATGTGGGGGTGTGTGTGTCTGGGCGTGTGTGTAGGTTAGTCAACAACATTCTAATCAAAGTGTTTATAGAAATTGTTTAGTCTCCGTCGACACTTCATTCTCTATTTTCTCTCGGTTTTTCCTGTAATTCATGTTAGTCCCTCTTTTAATTCTTCATCCACATCCCTCATTTTCTCTTTCCCTAACAATGTCATCCTTTTCCTTTGTGATAAGTCCCCAATTAATACAGATACAGAAACAGTGTGCTGAAGCAGAGCTCACCAAGAGTCTTTATTGATTTTTTTTAGAGGAGCCATGGAGCCACGGCCAGATCTTTATGTTTGCTGTAGTGGGTATTAAAATCATTACGACATTTGTGCTGCGGGTGCATGTGGAGGCTGAGGAGTAATTATGAAGGGCAAACGTCTGGGGACGACACACAAACACACACAAGAGCAAGGGGGAGGAAAACACAGGAGAGTGCTGGAAATATAAAATAGGAGGGAGAGATGGATGATACTGACAGTGAACCAGAAACTAACGCTGATAAGGAGAGAGGGAGACAAAGAAGGAGAGCAAAGCAATTTACATGTGAAAAAATAATGAGTGACACTGAGCAGTGGATGTGATGAGCTGTAGGTGGTGTGTAGAAATGAGACGACGCAGAGTGATGAGTGAGGAGAGAGAGTAAGTCTTCATGCATGTGCTTTTAACGTCTGGAAGACACATAAGGCTGTGTGTCCCCTCCTGTCCCATTTTCATCTCTGCCTATCACCCAGTCAGAGTCTAGTAAACTACCTCTATAACTTTGCTGGTTAATAGCAGGGAATCGAGCAGCCGGTGTACATCTGAGTCTCAAAAATGAGTTCCTCACCCCTCTGTCATCCACAGGTACGCCTGCTATCAGGAGAACTGCTGCCGCTCTCCTTTAAACCCCTCTTTAATATGTGACAGCTCTCATGAAATGAAAAGCCTGCACTCCTGCTGCAACTATTTCAAGGGTAAGTGTGGTCAACAACAAGTTTTATTTCCTAGAAACTGTGAGATTGGACGTGGTAACTGGGCAATTTCATAGGAACTTGCAGCCTGAGGGGAAAATAGCTTTTTAAAAAAACTCCTTAGAGGTTTATTATTCTTGAGAGCTGCTCTGACTTTGTCCATAAAAACCTGGCGAGATCTGACAATGCGTCTGTTTTCTCCATCCACCCTGAGCAATTCTTCCCAGAGCCTTTTAAAGATCTAAAATCAAATCTCTTTCCAACAAAGGCAAAGTTAAGTTAATATGAAAACTGAGAAGAAGTTTTAACAATGTCCAAACAAATGTGCTGTAGGTAGATTGGTGTTCATGCATTTATGTTACATCTTCTTAGCCAAGCTTTCTCAGCTTAAACTTTTATTGTCTTTTAACACACGACAGCAAACATAAATTAAACTAAACTTTGGACGTCTAAGCTTCAGTGTCTCTCCCACGTGTCTCTGTCCGTGTGTCCGTGTCTCAGGTCTGCTCTGCTGCTGCCTCTTGTACCAGAGGATCAATCAGCTAACGGCTCTCACCTGCACTGATTGATCCTCTGGTCCAGGTGAGACACAACTCTCTGGTTTTCAACCCACTCATTTATCTTAATTGTCAGTAGCTTTGATAACTGAGTTGATGGTTTAATCAAGATTTAATAAAAGTATTAAAACTGAATCATGACTCTACTCTACATGAGCTTTGAGAGTAATGACAGTTAAATCAGGGGTCTGCACATGAGAGATTCAGTGAGTGCTGTCTGTCCCCCTCTGTTGCTGTTTTCTTATTGCTTTGTGATTCGGTGTGGATGGATTCATTATGTCTGCCAAGGAGTTTTCGTTTTCACGTGTAGTTGTTGGTTGGCTGTTATTGACTTTCACAAAACTTTTTTTTTTCACTTTCTTTAACATTTTGACACAAGCCGTTTGACATTTTCACTGTTTAACAAATAAATTATTAATGGATCTCGATGAGAAAAATCAGGCACATTTAGGGGACTGGTCTGTATGAGTGTGTTTAATTTTGCGTACCTTGATTGAATGTCAGGGGACAGTTGGACCTTGGTGGAGGTCTGTGTTTTGTGCTGATCTAGTTTTCAAATGTGTTAAAATTATAGTAATGAATGATTCAGTAAGTCATTATTCATTCATCAATCACAGACATACATTCATCTGCTGATTCATCATTTAAGCTTTCTAGCTCAGATATGTTCTATTGTATTCACCTTGCGCTTTCGAGGGATGGGCTCATCGAAGAGCAGACTGCTGCCGTCCTGTTCATCCAGGCTCGGGTCCTCGGGTCCTGCGGGGCCGGGCCCCACACCGCCTAGGCTGGGTACTCTGAAGGGCTTGAAGCTGTCGGCAGAGAGCGGCGGGGAAGGTGTGGAAGGGTTGGACTGGTCGCTGGGGGCAGACCAGCTCCAGTAGCCCCCTGAAGAGCTGTTGCTAGACGGGGTAAAAGGTCCCACTGAGCCGTTGTCCTTCCACGAACCACTTAGACACTCTGAGAGGATGGAGGCAAAAAGAGAAAAAAACTACTTTATTTAACTGGATAAATTCCATGGGAGGCCTAACCAAGTTTCAGACAGAATAACACAACGTCAAAATACACAAATAAAACAAGTGAGGAAGAAAGGAAAAACACTGAGTCAATATCGCCCACAGCGAAACATGTGGGCGTTCCTCTGTCAATGATGGGAGATCAAGACTTTCAATTAAGTTCACAGAGCTTTATTTGCACCTCACACAGAAGAGCCTCGCAGCACAGACTGTTGACTGTGACAGAAGAAAAGAAAGGTTACTTCCTTGTTCTGTGATTCCACTGAGACGCTGCCATGGTCTTGTTTTCTTTAGATCAAAGAAATGCTTCTTTTGAATATCAGCTACAAAAGGTAGTTCACCTCGTGAAGCTGGAGGCTGGGGAAAACTTTGGGCTGTGTGTGTGTGTGTGTGTGTGTGTGTGTGTGTGTGTGTGTGTGTAAAAGAGCGTGTGACAGAGTGTGTGAGTCAGGGAGAGTGAGGAGCAGATGCAGTTTGTTTGGTTTAACAGGGCTCTTCTTGGCGGGGTGTCTCTTGTCTCAGGCTTCTCTCTTTTCTTCAGCAGGGTTTTAGATAAAAGAGGAAGTGGCTCACTAACAATAAGGAAACATTTCACGTGTTCCATTCTGTGGCATAGAAATGTAAATATTATGACTGACTTGCATGCTAATGATATGTGGATAAGCATATGCAAGAACTACTTACACCTTTCCATAATTGAAGATTAGGTGAAGTAGCTTTGTAAACAATAATCTCTATAAACAGATTCTCGACTCATCGGCTACTGACTTTTTAATTTATCTGCATTCATATGCAGATGAATGTTAATAGAGATTATTCGAAACGTCTTCTGGATCTAAAGGACCTACAAAAAATATCACTGTTTGCGATTTGTGAGGAAAAACATTCAACTTGTATGATAATACTGATATTGTCTACACCGGAGGCCGTTGCTCTCAGAGGGTAAAACTTCATCAGATGATGGTTGATGGGCTTCGAGATTGAAAGAATGACCCTCGAAAACGCCACGTTATCTGTCAAACCACAGGCGGAGACAGTAGGTTTCTTCTTTTTCATCACTGACCTCGGCTTCAAACTGTGTGCATCGTGCATGAGAACCTACTGTGTCCACTCGTGTAAATGCACATTGTATGATCTCCAACAAGTGCACGTGGATGTGACATCTGTATGACTGCATTAAAATAAACCGTTGGTATTTAAAAGCTACTTTGTGCATGTGTGCATGATGTATGTGATGTACATCTAACATATGACCGGATGTGCATGTGGGGCTGTGATAGCATGTGCATGGTGGTTGGAGGGTTGGCTACACGTCTGCTTGGTTGGACAGCTGGTTGGTTGCACAGAATATCTAAGTAGTTGCATGTGATTGCAGCAACACAGTGGCGGAAATCCAGACTTTGACAGAATCCTAAAGCACAGCAGGTGGTGGCAATTTATCAACCTCAGCTTCCACACTCATTCACAAGATAACGGCCATGAGGGAATGAAAAGTCTGCGTGCAGCAGAACACGCAAACGTCAGGCTTAGGCTCAGATTAGCTTTTTTCTGGCGATGGAGATCGAAATGAACGAATACATCAAAAGGCAAAGATTAATTTTAAACTGTGTTTAGGATGTTGTTTTCGCCGCTGTGTAAAATGATATTTCTACCTCAACACTCATTCGGCAGTTGTGATACTCACCGCTGACTTTGACAGGTGGACTCCTGACCAATGGGCTGGTGGAGAGGCTGGTCAGTACCATAGCGGCTGTCACCTTGTCCATGTCCACTTCCTCCTCCGACCGCCTGTAAAAGACACAGAAGAAAATGTTGAGAACTACAGTCATACACACAGAGAAAGACTATAACCCATCATCACAGTTAAGACTTTACTAAAGTAGCACCTGTCTCACATGAGGGTTTGTGTACTTGCTTGTATGTGAGGTGAAATAATAAATGCATTGCTCTTCTACTTGGAGAGTTAAAACCATGTCCTCGCCAGTGGTATTTTCAAGTCCTAAATCAAACCCTCAGTGGAATTTGTATGCCTTGCATGCAACAAGACATTTACCTGTCACATACCCGTTTACATGATGAAGTGCAGGACAAGTGATCTTTTTCAGAGATGGCAACAGATGCTATGAAACTATCAAACTCTGTGTGCAAAAGAAGCGTGTGTGATGTGAGGGGGCCCAAGAACACAATGACTCTTCCTTTCCCTTTGCCAGATGTTTTCAGAGAGAAGCCAGACCTTTTGAGACTAAACTCTCTAAGCTTTACATACTGCTGCAATGTCTACAACATAAGCTGCTAATTACATTGAAGTTAAAGCTTTTGGTGTTTTTTGTCCTTTGTGAGAAACTGGTGCGATCAACCAGACACAGCAGCTGAAATGCTACCGTCCAAGATGTGTCAAACCAAATTAGACTGATGTGGCTATTTTCTCTACAGTGCAGCTGCACAGTACATATGCTAGCTGAACCATATGACAGACTGTAACAACACACACACACGTATTTGTCTCATCTAATTGGTGCAGATAAAAAGCACAGGAAGACAGGCATCTTAATCCTCTCACATGTATTCCTCAGAGAGAAGCAAACCCTGTGATCAAAGGGATGTCAATAGCTTCATTGCTGACAGTATACCTACAGAACATGCTCACTATTAACGCAACAAGCAATGTGTGTGTGTGTGTGTGTGTGTGTGAGACTTTGATGGTGTGCGTGGATTCTATTACAATGATGAAATCTCCTGTTGCCCTGGAAAAGAAACAGGGTTTCCCAGTCACTGAGATCAAATAGTAGGTTACACTGCATCTTAATTGGTAAACACACAGTGCAGGCAACAAACTGTTACTTTCCCTGATAGAAGTGAGACAGCAAAAGGACGTAGGGACTTCCTGTATGCATCTGTGCCGAGTGTATGTGTGGTGACAGAAGTGAAAACCTGCTTTCACCACGGAAACAATTTAAACCCCAACAGGACACGACTCAAAACACACAACACAACTAAAACCAACAGTGGAGAGGCTTCAGAACAGCAGAGGGAAACTTGCTGAATGGCCCAGTCGAAGATCAGGCGTGACTCCCAGTATTTATTTTTCAAACGGCTTTCAGGTGCAGAAGCTCCACATCAAAGAGGACTGGCTCCAGGGATAAAAGGACTAATGTACCAAACTAACAGATGAATTTAAAATGACTTAGATGAATAGTGAATCAACAACAAAGAACAAACCAAAGTAGAACATTTTTCAGCTTTATTATCAACATTTTTTTTCAGTGAAGTTGTTCATTGTTTGGACTGTGATGTGATGAAGAGTTGAAATGTTCCAGCAGCCCGCAACCAGAAAATGAACTTACTACAAGGTTAGGGGATAATCTGACTGTTTACACACAGGTTATTCTGTGGTCAGAAATGTCCGATACACACTATGGACCTACTAAGTCTTAGGTATATTAGTTTCAGCCATTAACTCATGTTTATCAGTTTAAAAAAGATGACTCAGGGAACAGGGTTAACTGTGATAACTTTGAAGTAGAAATTACATTTTTGTTTAATCATTTAATTCTAATTAATTTTGTTTTAGTTTGTGAGTTCAAAAGAATATAATATATTATATAGACAGACACTTGTGCTTCAATGATTGTTTCAAAATGAATGTGAGAGCCATTAAAAGTTTAGAGTAGAGAAGCGAGCGTTGGAGAGTAGAGAAGCGAGCGTTAGCTAACAAAGAGCCTCGTCCTCCATTAGCTGAATTTATTACCCTTTCCACTGTTGAATATGATGTCATTAGAGCCTCCACATAAATCAAGGAAGGAAGCCGCTCACACATACACACACACACACATCTGACACTTTTACACATAACAACCCCCAGACACACACACACATCTTACGTTGCCGTAAAACTACTTCCTGGTCACCTTGGGAGGACATCATGTGACTGTAGATATTATTTCCATGGCAACAGTGACAGACAATATTTACAAGGTGCTTTGTCTATCTTGAAATATGAGAGAGTAAATCTGAGCGAAAATACACGAGGAGGAACAATAATTAAGACATGATGTATGAGTTGGGGGGGGGAGAGAGGAAGAGAGAATTTCCCAAATCGCATTTGTCATTAGTGGCGTTGTCCAACTTAGTTTCTGTCAAAGCATTTATCATGACTGTAACACACGCTGACACACGTGTGTGGTGGGATGGTTAATGGATTGGTAAGTGAAATCTGATGAATGAGTTTCATATGTCAGTGTGTGTGTGTGTGTCACTGTATATGCAACAGAGTGTGTTTGTGTTTTAATATTCTTACTTCACTAAATTGCAATACAAACATTTTCCCGTATCTGACCCCTGAGGCTTCTTAAAAGGAACATTATCGTGGACGTATAACTTTATCAGCAGCGAAGCGGAGGGAAAGTGAAGAGCTTGTTTGCTAATGCAGATTGCATGAAATGGATCCACATAATTTCATCTCGCTGGTGGCTTTTCATAAATGGAAAATGAGCTTATCTCAAGGGTTCAAACAAACATATTACTGTGGATGCTGTTAATGCCTATTGATATTTATTCTTGGTCAGGTAGCATCGCCATACACCATTTTCAAACATGGACTCAGTTGCATATTTAAATGCTGTAAGTGGTAATTAGGGAAATAGGTTTTTAATTAAAAAAAGAAAGACAAATACAAGAAATTAGATAATTAGGATTGCAACTAACAATTCTTTTGTTAGTCCACATGCAGCTAACAGTAGACTACAAATTGCCTCTAGGTGTGAGTGTGAATGGTTGTCTCTAAATGTCCGCCCTGTGATGGACTGGCGACCTGTCAAGGGTGTACCCTGCCTCTCGCCCAATGTCAGCTGGGATTGGCTCCAGTCCCCTTATGACCCTCAAAGACTAAAGGGATATAGATGATGAATGGATGAAATGATGAATGGATGGATTTATATTCCCTGAACACCCGCGTAGGTTTTCACAGATTCTGGCTGATTAGACCTCTGCTCAAGTTGGAGTTGGGCAGCTTATCGTTAAAATGATATTATACATAATTTTGTAAAAAAACAAACAACACAGCAGGTACCAGATTTTACCAGAAGATAAAACAAAGAAAAAAAGACATGTAGATCCTCAGCACTGAAGAAAATCATGAGCACATAAAAAAATTACAAACTATTGGAGTTAAAATTAGAAGCAGTGATTTGGAATTCACCACATGAGGGTTTGGAGATTCAAGTGAAACAATAACTCCCTGTTCAGGGGTCCTTGATGAGCTTGGTGGTGATATGGCTGTTTGCCAATCTGCCAACGGGCTGTGTGTGTCTGTTTGTGTGTTTGTGTGTGTGTGTGTGTGTGTGTGTGTGTGTGTGTGCTGAAACTTGTTGTACTTCCCTGGACAGATGTGCCAACTCATTATTTTAGGAATCTCAGGGGAACTGAACAAAACAAAGGGCCTGCATGGGAAAAAGAAAGAGGGGCGGCAGAATGAGTGTGTTTCTGCATGTGTGTGTGTGTGTGTGTGTGTGTGTGTGTGTGTGTGCGTGCGTGCGTGTGCCAAGTAGCCATCATTGTGGGGAACAGGCAACATCCAGTTTCAAGCAAAACACTGGCCAGGGAGAGAGTGACAATAACAGGGGTTCATGTTACTGTGGCCACCTTTGTTTGACAGGTAAATAGGAACTGATGTGGGGGCGTGGCTTTTCTTTATCATCATCTTACTTTTAGATTTAGTTTGATGTTCAGGAATAAAAACAAGGAACCTTTACTTTTAAGGTAAGAAAATTTAAATGGTAGAAATGTCTGACATTTTATCACAACACTATAGAATACATTTGGCTGCAGACACAACATCTGTCCACATAAAGCTAGTGAGGGACGCTTCTGTTCTGAGTCGACTAAACTAACCCTGGTCATGTTGTTTTTTCACATGTAGCCACAGTGCAAACAACTATTCAACACCTGTAAACTTTATTTACAGGTGTTTGTTTAACAAACTCAAAATGGGCCACGGTCGGTCTTCACACACACAAACAGTCACAAATAGTTTCTACATGTGTGTCACAGAAAAAACTATCAATCACATCTACTGAAGGCAGCTGGACGGTGTGGAGGCTTGCAGGAATTTCCCTGAAACTCAGGCCAGCGCTTCCAAACACACACCCCTCACTCCCACACTCCTCTGTCCTCTCTCTCCTCTTCCTCCCTTCACCCCTGCTGGACTCACTCACTGAACTCTCTTTGCCTCTCTCTCCCTCTCCCTGCCTCTCTCTTCCCTCCCACACTCTGAGCTTCTTCGATGTTTGTTGCTGCAGATCACACTGTGAGCAAAGTAAAGTGGGTAAGAAAGACAGCAAGAAGTTGTGTGTGTCTGTGTATGTGTCTGGGTTGGCCTGTCTCTTTGATGCCGGGCGGTGCAGCGAGGTCTTCTCGTTTATTACAGCCACTGGACTATGACGCCCATTTCCTCCTCAATAAGCTCCTATAAAACAGAAAGCTCCTCTTCAGCCATATCTGATCTATCTCCTCCTCTCTCTCTCACACACACTCACACACACTCACACACACACACGCTTACGCACACACATTCAGATGACTTCAAAACCACAAAAGAAATCTGCATATGACATGGGGCTAACATGCATGAAGGGCACAGATTTTGATTGGCAGATGTGCATGAAAGGACACACACACACACACAAACACACACAGAAATTTACTTTGACATGCTCGTGTGCATCCCTCGGACTCTGGAGACATTACAGATAACAGTCCTTTGTTGGAAAACACACGTCCTCAAAAACAGC